CTGGGCCTCTTTGCTTAGGCTGCTGCCCCCGCGACCCGACCCCGGACAAAGCGGATGACGATGGATGGATGGATGGATGTTCTCCACATTTTCAAACATTTGCATGCATGATCACAGCAACATTGTGACTAAAGCTAAGTAATTTGAAAATAATATCAAAAAGTATCTCAAACAGAGTTAAACAGTCAACAATCCAGGTGAGGAAGTCCCAACAAATTCTGTTCATCTGGATGTAGCATTGAAGGATATCTCAGAGTTCTTGCCAAATAAAGGTCTTAATTTTATCTCATGTTTTTGGAAAAAGGCCAGTTAGAAAAGTCTTCACCTTGTCACTTTGAGGTTTTATGAGAGTTTCTTCATATGGTTAGCAGTCCTGTAGAGTTCACGCTTTAGTGGGTCAGCACCAGTGTTGGGAAGGTTACTTTTAAAATGTATTCCACTACAGATTACAGAATACATGCCCCAAAATGTATTTTGTAACGTATTCCGTTACGTTACTCAATGAGAGTAACGTATTCTGAATACTTTGGATTACTTAATATATTATCATGCTTTTTACAACTACATGAATGTACTATTGCAGTGCGAACTATTACTTTTACTGAAGGTTATTCACCATACTAATACCAACTAGATGTTTAAATCTTAATATAAAATGAGTAACAGTAGGGTGGACATTAGGTAAGGCTGCACTTTTTGCAGCGATCTCGTATAGAAAACTATTCTGCGCTTATATAAAACAGGTCCGCGGCCTTAAACCGTAAAGGTGTAAAACCATAAAGGGACCTCTGGCTAATACGTCGGGTTCGTGTCGGGCTCGTAGCCTAAAACTAGCTTTACTTTGTTGTCTGGGTCAACTTTGCTAGTGAAAGACAGAGAGAGGCGTTGAAAGGCTGCTCCAAAGGAATTTATTGTTTCGGAGGAAAACACGAACACGATGTACAGTCGAGTCTTAACAGCTTACTTACAGCTGGGCTCGTCAGGAACTCTTTTTGGCTGCAGTGGTTATTATTATATTTACATGCTTCCAGCTCCCGTTTCTGCTCGGTGACAGCTCGTACTTTTCCTTTTTCTTCCTCCCTCGCTCACAGACACATAAAGGGTATGGCAGTCCATCCACCCTGCAGCACGGACTACACTGCCCATGAGGCTACATTCTTTAGAGCGATGACTGTAACACTCTCCCTATTGCCTTCATATTAAATCATTTTTGTGAATAATTTTTAAAAATATTTCTTCACGTCATTATGCGGGTTGCAAGTAGAGGTGACATGGACTGCGAGATTGAGACACAGACATTAGAGCCTCTTAATGCGTGTTTTGTTTGGGTTTCCACGCCAGTGGAAACCAAAAATAAAGAGGGCATAGCCTAACATATGAAACAGGAAAATACCGCCGCATAAACCATTCATTTCGACAAAGTACCTGTATTCTGATAACACCTTTATAAACGGT